TAGAATACATCACATATTAGACCACAAAATATATCTCAAATTCAAAATGACTGAAATCATATTGTGCATACTTTCTGACCAGAACACTATGAAACTAGGTTTCAAAATCTTTGCGATGCAGCAAAAGCTATTCTACAAGTGAAGATTATATTAATACAAGCCTACCTCAAGAAGCAAGAAAAATCTCAAACAACCTAAACCTACATTGAAAGCAGCTAGAAAAAGAAAAACAAACCAAGCCCAAAGCCAGTAGAAGGAAGGAATTAACAAACATCAGAGCAGAAATAAACAAAAGAGACTAAAAAAAAAGGAATCAGTAAAAGTTTTAGTAAATCTTGAGACTCCTCAAAAAAGGAAGAGCAGAACTCAAATACATAAAATCAGAAACAAAGGAGGAGAAAAAACTGATACAACAGAAACACAATTACAGGAGAATATTAAGAAAAATTATATGTCAACAAATTGGACAACCTTGAAGAAATGGATAAATCCTAGAAACATATAGCCTCCCACAACTGAATGAGGAAGAAATAAAAAATTTGAATAGACTGAATACTAAAAATGAAATTGAATCAGTAATTAAAAAACCCCAATAAGCAACCATATGGGACCAGATGGCTTCACAGGTGAATTCTATCAACTGTTTAAAGAAGAGTTAACATCTATTCTTCCCAAGCTATTCCGAAAAATAGGAAAGAAAGAAAAAGCTTCCAAATTCATTCTAAAAGGTTAGCATTACCCTGATACCAAAACCAGACAAAGACATTACAAAATAAAAGAACTACAGGTCAATATCTCTGTTGAACAAAGAGGCAAAAATCCTCAACAAAATTCTAGCAAACCAAATTCAACAGTACATTAAAAAAAATAATTCACTATGATCTAGAGAATGTTGGCTCTTATTATGCAAGAGTGATTCAATATTTTCAAATTAATGAATGCGATACATCACATCAATAAGAGGAAGGATAAAAACTATATGACCATCTCAATAGATGCGAAAAAAGCATTTGACAAGGTACCTCATCCATTCATGATAAAAACACTCAACAAAGTAGGTTTAGAGGGAACATACCTCAAGATAATAAAGGCTATATATGAAAACTCCACAGCTAACCTCACGCTCAGTGGTGAAAAACTGAGAGCTTTTCCTCTAAGATTAGGAACAAGATAAGTATATCCACTCTTACCATTTTTTTCCTTTTTCCCCACTCTCACCACTTTTATTCAACATAGTACTGGAATTAGACAACAAAAAGAAATAAAGCCATCCAAATTTGCCAGGAAGTAGTAAAACTTTCGCTATTTGCAGATGACATGATACTATACACAGAAAACCCTAAAAGCTCCCCTAGAAAACTACCAAAATGGATAAATGAATCCAGTAAGGTTGCAGGATACAAAGTCAATATACAGAAATCTACTGCATTTCTACACATTAATAATGTAGTAACAGAAAGATAAATGAAGAAAACAATCCCATTTATGATTGCACCCATAATAAAATACTTGGGAATAAGCTTAACCAAGGAGGTGAAAGATCTATATTCCAAAAACTATATAACACTGATGAAATAAATTGAAGGTGACATAAACAAATGAAAAGATACTCCACACTCATGGATTGGAAGAACAAATATTGTTAAAATGTCTATACTACCCAAAGCAATCTACGGATTTAATACAATCCCTATCAAAATACCACCAATATTTTTCACAGAACTAAAACAAATAATCCTAAAATTTGTATGTAACCACAAAAGACCCTAAACAGCCAAAGCAGTCTTGAGAAACCAGAACAAAGCTGGAGAAAACCAATCTCAGATTTTATTTTATTTTATTTTATTTTATTTTATTTTTTACCAATCTCAGATTTTAAGATCTAGTACAAAGCTGTAGGAATCAAAACAATATGGTAGTGGCAAAATAATAGGCACACAGATCAATGAAACAGAATAGAAGCCAAAAATAAACCCACGCTTTTATGGCCAACTAATCTATGACAAAGGAGGCCAGGATATAAAATAGGAAAAAGACATCTCTTCAACATCTCATTTCATGTGTTACACTCATTGGAGTGTAAGCTGGTCCAGGCACTGTGGAAAACAATATGGAGTATTACCCTATAATCCAGTAATTCCAGTACTGGGTATTTCCCCAAGGAAAACTAATTCAAGAAGATATATGCACCTCTATGGTTATTGCAGTATTAGCTACACTAACCAAGATATGGAAGCAGTCTGACTGTCCACTGATAAATGAATGGATAACAAAGAGGTGGTGTATATACTGAGGGTTGATGGGTTGGGGAAGAGGGGAAAAAGAGTGATGGGCATGGAGGAGGGCCCATTGTTGGGATGAGCACTGGGTGTTATATAGAAACCAACTTGACAATAAACTATAAAGAAAAAAAAGATATGGTATATATATACAATGGACTGTTACTCAGCCATGAAAAAGAATGAAATCTGCCATTTGCAACAGCAGGGATGGACCTAGAGAGGTATAATGCTAAGTGAAAAAGTCAGAGAAACACAGAGAAAGACAAATCCCATATGCTTTTACTCATATCTGGAATTTAAGAAACAGAGCAGATGAACAAAGAAAAGACAAAAAACAGACTTAAATACAGGGAACAAACTGGTGAGGAGATGGGGAGGTGGATGAGGAGATGGATGCAATAGATAATGGGGATTAAGAGGTATACTTGTTAAAATTTTTAAAAAATAAAAATTTTTAAGTTTATTTCTTTATTTTAAGAGAGAGAGACAGCACGGGTAGGGGAGGGGCAGAGATAGAGGGAGAGAGAGAATCCCCAGCAGGCTACACACTGGCAGCACAGAGCCAGACCTGGGGCTCCAACTCACGAAACCATGAGATCATGACCTGAGCTGAAACCAAGAGTCAGTCGCTTAACCGACTCAGCCACCCAGGTGCCCCTAAAAAATTTTTTTAATGTTTTTAATTTATTTTTGAGACAGAGTGAGAGCGAGCGAACATGGGCAGGGAAAGGGCAGAGATAAAGAGGGAGACACAGAATCCGAAGCAGGTTCTAGGTTCCAAGATGTCAGCACGGAGCCCAACAAGGGGCTTGAACCCATGAACCACAAGATCATGACCTGAGCTGAAGTCGGATGCTTAATTGACTGAGCCACCCAGGCACCCCAAGAGGTCCACTTGTGATGAGGACTCAATAATGCACAGAATTGTTGAATCATTATATTATATACCTGAACCTAAGTGAAGACTGTTATGTCAATGATACTTGAACACTAACAAAAAAGAATCCCATCAGGAGGGCCTCCTGCAACCCTTCAAATTGCATGCCCCTCTCGCGCAGTCTTACTCCTGTACTACTGTGTGGTGGTGCTGGCTCCCTATAGGTCTCTCCAGCAGCCGCTGAGCACTTTGAGGGCAGTGGCTGTGCCTAATTCCTGTCCTCCAACTCAAAGGGGGTCAGTAAGTGCCCAACGCAGGCCTCATGACACAAGATGGAGCGAAGATCTCATCAGGCCCTTCCCTTCACAGCTGTGTGCTTAGAAGCCTCCGTGTCATTGTCCCCATGTTCTCATATTTCTCCCCTCATTTCCCATAATGCATCTGTGCTTCCCCCACCCCCTTCACTGAAACTGCAGAGCCAACATCATTAACGAGTTAGACCAAATCCCACACATTATTTCCAGCCTTCATTGCCTGGTCTTCTTCCCAACATTGAACTTTACAGACAAACTATCTCCTCCCTCGCTTCCCACTGTCTTTTGGGCTCTCCCCAATTCGACTCCTCCTTCACAGTCTTCTTCTTTCTGCCTTCTTGTCCTTTGCTTACCCCTTAAATGTCAGGGTTTTCAGCCCACTTCTGCCTTATTCCACACACTCTCCCTGGGTGAGGCCACTCCTATGGCTTCGGCGACCACCGCTAAGCCGGGATTCCTACGCCGGTCTTTAGCTTAGATTCCATGTAAGTCCCGTGGGCACCTGAAGCGCAAACTTGACCAAAACTGCCCCAGAGTGTGCTCTTTTCCCTCCAGGCACCCCTCTTGGGGAGCAGAGTCTCCATCCACCCATTCTGCTCAAGCAGAAGTCTGAGGTCTTAGCTTCCTCCACCCCCTCCCCACTCACACACACGAGGTTGGCCAGGCCTGTTGATTCCACCCTCTGAACATCTCTGAATCTGCTACTTCCTCTCCATCCCTACTGCCTGTGACTTCCATTAGCTCCTCATCCTCTCCTTCCAGGGTGACCACAAGTGCCGCCTAAGTGGCCTCCCTCCCATGCTCTCCAAACTTTTATTCCACCTGGCACACCCAGCAGCCTGAGCACTCTCTACAATGCGAAACTGACTGGGTCAATCCTCTGCTAAAAGCAACACCTTTCCCAAACTTCCAGGTGTAAAAATCACACCTTTGTGTGCCTCCCCAGGAATGTCCCTCACCATCCCCTCCGGACCCCATACTGTCCTGCAGTCCTGGAGGTCCATACTGCCATGCCTCGGTTCCTGCTGTCTTAAGGACCTGGAGTGGCCTCCCTTTGTGAAAATGAATCTCAAGGATCCCAACTTCTGTGAAGCTTTCTGTGTCTCCACTGTACTCTATATGGACTCCGGACACACACCGTCTCCCTTGGCTAGGCTGTGAAGTCACTGAGGCAGGAGCCATGTGGTTTTCATCTCAGAGTTTTCAGAACCTGGCCCAGTGCCTGATGCACAGCACTTGCTTAATAAAGCATTCATCAGGGACTTCCATGGAGAGGTGTGGGGCGACATTCTCAGGGTGCACACCTCTGGCCCTGGTGAGTAATTAATGCCAGAACATTTGCACCATGAGGGGCAAGTCAGCTTCCCAGGGGACCGGGAGACCGGCACTCAGCATTGCTTCATGTATTTTCCATAGAATAAAGCTGAGGCACAGAAGCCACTGGGAGATGGCCTTCTGGAATTACACCCACGGGCAAGAGGCATCTTACCCTATAGACAGGATAGGAACCCTGGTAGAGAAGCTTACCTTGTGCCCCAGAAGTTCCTTTGGGCATGTGGGTTGGACCTGTTCAGAGCTTTCTTTTCCACAGCACTGAAACTAGAGAGTCAGAGAAGAGCTTTTAGGGCCCAGGGAGGAGGAGTACGAGCTCTAAGTCTGGGCATCGCGGCCGAACACTGGGGCACTGAGGCAGTAAAGCAGCTATGGGACCAATCAAAGCAATGCAAACTGCCATTTCTAGAAAGATAGTGGAGTTGCATAACCGTGCTAGCAAAACAAGAAAAGAACTTAGGTCAAGTTGTCCAAGTTTTACGATGGGAAGTGACTCAAGGCAATTCAAACAAAACAAGAAGCCAATGACGGGGTCTGTGTGAACTGCTATTTTTTAGACAGGAACTGGGCTGTTAGATTCTTTATTTCAGCCCAGGAGTAATTTTAACCTGCTGAGTAGCTAAAGTTTTATGAGCTTCAGGAAGGGCTCATTAACTGGGGAGAGTGTGGGACAGAGAGGAGAACTGACCGCCATAAATAAACCCCAGGGGCTGAAAGGCCAGGGCATGAAGACAGGCCAGCAAATAGGTGTCCTGCCTTAGGGGGCTGGCCCTTCAAACACAAAGGAGACTGTGTGTTGCTTAATGTCCCTGGGGCGGCTGAGGCTGAACAGGATAAATGGTTGGCACCTTCCAGGACATTCCTGTGACAAACAAGAACCGGGCTACCTGGAAGCAATTGGCCCAGGAGGTCATAGGTACTTCTCCATATTGCAGTGGTTAATAAATCAGGAGGACTCTGACCTGGTTCATCTCATCCATAAGCCCTCGTCGGTTAGCTGTGTGGAGCCCTCAGCACTGCACTGACAGCACAGTCCCACAGAATGTTCTAGAATAAAGGGAGCATAGCTGTCTCCGTGCCCTTTCATTTTACCCGTGGGGGAGCTGAGGGATTATCAGGGAGACAAGGAACTTGCTCAAGGTCACAAAGCTGCTCAGTAGCAGAGCTGCTGCTGGGAAGACCTTTTCTGACTTCAAGGTCATGGTTGCTTCTATTACACCACCATGCCACCTTCTCAGACAGCTTGGTATTGACTTGGGCTGCTTTCTGGGTGCTCTTGTTTGAGCTCTTTTGTCGCTCTGGGGCACATGTCCTGACTTCCTCTTGGGAACTCTGTGTGCTAGGCGGGTCTCTTCCTCTTCTAAGTTCTACACATTATGCCAACAGCAGCTCCCATGAGGGCCAAAATACAGTGCTACAGCATGACCTCACCAAAGTTATTCTGATCTTTAATCCAAGTGATGAGAGAGAGCCTGGCTAATGCATGGTCTTCAGAAGATATAATTTTAAAGAAGTAAAGTTACTTACTGTGGAGTGGAAGGTAATGAGCGTCCCATTTCCCTTTTCCCTGTCTTTCAGGTAATCATTATAAGCTTCTTCATACATGGTCTGGACATGCCGTATAGCCTGAAAAAATACCAGGAAAACTAAGGGAACCGTGACTGGGAAGTTTCAAACACTCCTCTTTCATCCAGGAAAGCCCCCTCTTCCTTACCTTTGGAAAACACAGCCTGTCCCTGTGTCTACCTGTGTTTTAAGTCAATTCTGCATTTATGGAAGAGATTATAGAGTCTGGAGTTTCTTGGATACTTCTGGAGATGGGAGGATAGACTAACCAAGAATAGCTTTCATAGACTAGAAGGATTTCTTTAAGTGGAGGTTCTCACACCTGAATGGCCATCAGCATCCACTGGGTGCCAGACTCGGGGGCTCACCCAGGAGATCTGACATACAGTGAGTGGGGACTTTCGCATTCTTGGTACCCTATGGGTTAAGAGTACTCAAGCCTATTCATGACATGGTTTGAAAGACGCTCATGACCAAGGAAAGCTATTTCTGCATATAAATATCATAGAAAACTTAGAGAATGCTTCTTCTGACATAAAGGCATGTGATCTGACATCCACAGAGATCTCATTAGATCCGATTCCTCCAACCTACAAATATAAGCAGCTACTTTAGAAACATTCCAAAGGAGGTGAAATTTACTTATTCTACATGTTTACCATTTTTTACATCTAAAATAAGTTCATAAACACAATATTGATAGCATATGAATTTACATGAAATACAGTAAACTTAAGATTCCATTCTTCCTCCTTTTCACTCCCCTCTTTCCCACGGTGTGTTTTAACCTTCTAAAAAGGCCATTTCCTCTGCGGATTCTACTGATAACCTACTTTGGACACCTACAGTTTGATCACAAGTCTAAAGAGACTGGCTTCACCAGCACACAGCAGGTCAGACTTCAGTCTTTGAGGATAATGTGGCCTCTTTCCAGGCCAAGCCCTACGGACAAATAGTAGTCTAACACGGGAAGAAAATGCATGTTCCTCTCCATCCCTCTTTCTCATGAATGCAATTTACCCCCTTTCCCCCATTATGAATAGGGTAATCTTAAACTAAGTATCCTTCAAAAAATCATAGACCCCTTCATAAATCTAATGAAAGCTATGAACTGTCTCCCCAGAAAAATGTGTGCATGTTACATGTATGCACACGCACACAGACACACGCACAGGTCTGCGCGGTATTTCCAGGTTAAGACCTTCTGCATCAACGATAAATGCAGGGGTTATTTAGTTTCGTAATACCATTGTGGGTGTAATAGTCTCATATCCTTTGCCATAAAGAAACACTTTAACCATCGTAAAAAGAAATTGTAAGTAATTTCTACTTACTACCCCCTTGCCTATAAAAGCAAACACTCCAGTGGTTACTTCGGCAGCAAAGATCACCAGGAGGCAGGTAAAGAACTGTAGAGGAGAGAAAACACTCACTTCATTAACTCAATACCTTGTCAATTTATTTGGCGTCTTTAATTCTAGTTCCATTTGGAAAACATGAGGCAAGTTCGAATTGATCTAGTAGGAAGCATTACTCCCATACTCCCCTGTAGCGTGTTTATGCATTCATTTGCTCATTAATTCATTCGGCAATTATTCACTGAGCATCTACTCTGCACCAGGCACTGTCCTTGGTACTGGGTATTCAACGGTGAGTAAGGTAAGATCCCAACGTCTCTGCGATCATGGGCCTCGTATCAGAAAATGATAAATCAGAAATAAATGATAAATGATATAAATATAAATGAGAAATCAGAAATATGATAAATGAGTAAAGCACTACAAGAAGGGAGTTAGATCATTTCAGACAGTGATAAAGAAATTTCACCACTTAGAACAGTGCCTGGCACCTACGCGCTCAATGAATTCTTGAACAAAAGAGATCCTATAAAGATATAAAACAAGGCCAAGAGATAGGGAGTGACTGGTGGGGCCTGGGGCCTGTGGGCTTTGAGGTTTCTCTGGGGGGTGGTGGTGAGGGGTGTCCTCCCACGCAGATCTCTGTTCCAGTCTCTAGGGTTGGCTCTATGTTCAGAGATCAGGGAAAGGCAGGCAGAAAGCAGGACTGAGGAAAGGAGTTAAGAGATCTTATGCAGCAAGAGATCAGAAGTGGCAGGAACGGTTAAAAAAATCAAAGATTGCAATGGGTAAGGAGAGACTGCCCCCTGAAATGGCTGTTTCGGACCCCTTATGATGGAGAAATATGAAATCTTTCTCTCTTCTGACCCCTCCTCCTTCTCCCTGTTTCTCTTAGATCACTCTGGCATTGGGTGTATACAGCAGTAACTGAAATTCGTTCTTTAAAAAAAAAAAGAAAAGAAAAGAAAAAAAAAAAAGACGCAGGCTGCTTGTTAAACCACAAGAGGGAGGTTTGGCTAAGTTACTGATCTCAAACAGCAATTCCTGTCTTGTAGGCAGCAGCACCTCCCTGGCTAGAGGACTCTTAGCTGCCTCCCTGTGAAGTAATCTTGAAAGAACAATCATAATTATCCCCTTACGATTATTGGGCACCTTTCTTTCCAAAACATCTTCACACTAATGACCTCATTTTTTTTTCATACTTCCCATATGAGGCCGGGACAAAGATTATATTATTCTTAAGCAAGAGATGGAGAAACGGAGACTCAGGGAGAGGAAGTGGGTGCCAAGGTCGCAGTGGGCCGGAGGAGCCGGCGCTGGAGGCCCATCTCCGGTGCCCCTCGCACCCGTTTCCCCCCCGCGGTGCCCCACTTACAGATCCGAGCACACACTGTGACTCCCGCATGGCTCCACAGCACCCGAAGAAGCCCACGGCCATCATCAGGGCCCCTGCTCCAACCAGCACGTACAGCCCTGCGGGGAAGAGGTCGGAGGGGGTACTGAGCACCCAGCAGCTCGCGCCCCTGCTGTGCCAGGTCCCCGCCGGGCAGAGCCTAGGCTGCTGACAATTTAACAGGGAGCACTCGGTGAGTGCTTGGGCAGAGTAGCATCAGCTGCCGACAGTGTAATGAGGAGCACTCGGTGAGCGCTGGCTGAGTGCGCACTTGAGGGAACCTGCACCAAGGTCCTGAGAGGGAGGGGCTACGGTTATCCCCTGTGAACGAAGTGATATTTACAGAGGTAGTGACCTACTCACTGTCACTTGGGGGACAAAGACTAGAAACTTGGTCCAAGTTCCACGACTCATGCTCTTAATCACCTCCACATGCCTCCTACCTGCCAGGCACTTTACTGTTCGGATTTCTACCTCCCCTGGGTGTTCCTCTCATTTGCGGGAAAGTGATGCAGTGAGTCCAGGGTGGTCTGGAGTCAGTGCGGAGCTGGGACACAAACCCATGCCTGTCTAGGAGCCCCTTGGGCCTGCATGGCGCTCTGGAATTAATGGCTGTCTCCATCACAGGAGAGGCTGAGGCTGACGGTCTGCCCATGCACAGATGAGGAAGCAGGGACAGGGTGGGACAGAGAGGGGGCTCTTCAGTCACTGAGAGGAAGACACAGAATAAGGCAGTCAAGTTTTGTGAGAATCACCGACTGTAGAGGGCATCACCATGTACACTGGACACACGGGAGGCCACAACGTTCCAAGAAGTAGCCGAGAGAGGAGGGGACACCGGCTAACACACACCAAATGCTATTACTAACACCATAGTAGCTACAGTTGTTAAGGGCTTATTTTTTCCAGGCACTGTTCTCAGCACCTGGCACAGACTTACTAATTTCATCTTCCTGAGGCAGGTACCATTGTCATATCCATTTTCTGGAGAAACTAGTCCCCGAAAGGTTAAGCGATTTGCTCAAGGAGAGGGAGCTGGGATAAAAATACCCATCTGCCTCTAAAGCTAGCTCGTCACCGCTAGCCTACGCTGCCCTGCCTCGCCGGTAATAACAGCAGCCTCGTTCCTGGCACTGATTCCACTTGCTCCTGAAGTCAAGCCACGGGAGCCGTTGTTCTCACAAGAGACAGAAAAGGACAGAAATGTTCTTGTTCGGAGAGAAATAAAGCCAAGCCCTTTCTTATTTCCTTTTCTGATCCGGAGATAAGTCAGAACACAATGTAGGGGCCTGGCACTTGACTTGCTTAGAGCGACGCTAATTGCCCTGATTTTATTTTTTTGCATTTTATTCATCTGAGTCACCTGGAAGCCACTCCCAGTGTCCGAAAGGGTGGGAGCCAGCTGGCACCCCACCTCTGTGGGGAAAGCCTGAGCCGGATGCCTCCGGGGGCCCCTCTCCGTGCTTTCGGTCATTTGTGGGCAAATCTGTCTGGTCCCTGACACAGACAGGGTGACACCCAGGAAATTCCACTTCCTGTAGCACCCCGGCTCTTCTCGGGGCTCTTGGGCCAGGGAAGTCCTGCCGATCCATGGTCCTGGGGCAGGTGTTTACTTATGTCCTGCTACCCCAGCTCTGCCACTTCCTCCCGTTTCCTTTCCACTAAAACAATGATTCCGTGCGGAATGGACGTGGGAATGAGAAATGATACCATGTTAAAGACAATACTGTTGTTGGTCCACTGCCCACAAACCTTACTATTTTAAAATTTTTATTTTTCAAAGCTCTTTCACTTCCATCATCTTACTGGCTTCTCAAGCCCATAAGGTAGGGCAAGTGTTCTATTTCTGTTTTGCCGACAGGGGTCGGAGAGGCATGATGGCTCCGGGCCGGACACAACCTCCTGAAAAAGACCACGGTGATGCGGCCACACTGTGCTCCGTTCCCTCCCAGATGGTCTCATGGGTGGACTGCCTTATATATTGATTTCCCATTTAAAATGTTCACTGTTGGGGCACCTGGTGGCTCTGTCGGCTGAGCATACTACTTGGGCTCAGGTCACAATCTCGAAGTTCGTGGGTTCGAGCCCCACATCGGGCTCGCTGCTGTCAGCGCAGAGCCCGCTCTGGATCCTCTGTCCCCCTGCCCCTCTTGTACTCTCTCTCTCTCTCTCCAAAAATAAACAAACATTAAAAAAATTTTTTTAATGGTCATGGTCTCCCCACTGCTACAAGATATAGTCTACAGATTCTGCTTAGAGTAACAGCCTAGGGACCGGGCCTACCTGGATCCTTACCTAGCCCATGCTCCGGCCACAGAGGAACTCACCGTGATCTGGCCCGGCCGGCTCTTTTCTACTTTGTGCTTCTGCAGGGTCTCCTATTTGTCTTTCTTTTTTTTTTTTTTTTTACAAATAGTTTATTGTCAAATTATTTTCCACATAACACTCAGTGCTCACCCCCAAAGCGCCCTCCTCCATGCCCATCCCTCCTCCCTCCCACATCCATCAGTCCTCAGTTTTTGTCAGCATTCAAGAGTCTCTCATGGTTTGCCTCTCTCCTTTTCCCCCACCATTTCCGCCCTTCTTCTCCCCCTTGTTCCTCCGTCAAGTTCCTCCTAATCCTCCTATACGTGCAAACATATGATATTTGTCCTTCTCTGCCTGACTTATTTCGCTCAGCATAACACCCTCAAGGTCCATCCATGTTGCTACACATGGCCAGATTTCATTGTTTCTCATTGCCATGTAGTATTCCATGGTATAGATAAACCACATCTTCTTGATCCATTCATCTGTTGATGGACACTTAGGCTCTTTCCATGTTTTAGCTATTGTGGAGAGTGCTGCTATGAACATTGGGGTACATGTGCTCCTATGCCTCAGCATTTCTGTATCCCTTGGGTAAATTCCTAGCAGTGCTATTGCTGGGTCATAAGGGAGTTCTATTGTTAGTTTCCTGAGGAACCTCCACACTGTTTTCCAGAGGGGCTGTACCAGTTTACATTCCCACCAACAGTGTAGGAGGGTGCCCGTTTCTCCACATCCTCGCCAGCATCTAGAGTTCTCTGATTTGCTCATTTTAGCCACTCTGACTGGCGTGAGGTGGTATCTCAGTGTGGTTTTGATTTGTATTTCCCTGATGAGGAGGGATGCTGAGCATCGTTTCATGTGTCTGTTGGCCATCTGGATGTCCTCTTTGGAGAAGTGTCTGTTCATGTCTTCTGCCCATTTCTTCACTGGGTTGTTTGTTTTTCGGGCGTGTAGTTTGGTGAGTTCCTTATAGATTCTGGATATTAACCCTTTATCTGATATGTCATTTGCAACTATCTTTTCCCATTCCGTTGGTTGCCTATTAGTTTTCTGGGTTGTCCTATTTGTCTTTCTTCTGTAGATTTTAAGTCCACAAGCAACCTTTAATCACCCTATCTAGACTACACCAGACACAAGGCAGAATTCCTGATCAGTGTTTGTTGGATGAGTGGATAAAGAATGAACAAATCAAATCTGAAGTTCTGGGCTGGCTGGCTGCCACTGCCCATCCTGGCTTAGAGATACATGTGAGGAATACATCTCAACCAACGTCCACAAAGCCGCCACAGGGCGGGCTCTCTCAAGGTCAGGCAGATGAGTGCACATCTGTATACCCTGAGAAAGGGTTCCCAAGAGGCTGGAATGTAGGAAAGAGGGGTGCCCCTGAAGAAGCTGGGGCACAGTGGACAGAGGCACAGGGGCCTGAGGAGGCCACAGCTGTTCTCCACTGCCAACAGGCTCCCTCGGTTTCTCGGGCAACAATCCTCTCCCTTCTGAAATGATGTGAGCTCCCCAAGAAAATCTGATTTGTATGGGAGTCCATCCTTAGGCTATCAGAGTCTAGAGCTCAGTAAAAACACCTTGAAACTGACCCAGCAGCTCCAAGTGCAAAGGCCTCTCCCCAGCAAACCTCAGTTTGGGTATGCATGGCCCACGTGACTCGGCCCAGTGCCTAATGAGCAGTGTTTGTTGGAGCTTAGGGGAAAATCAGAATTCTGTAGGCCTCCAGAAAGCAGTTCCCAGGCTGGTTGTAAAACTGCAAATCATGAGGCCATCCATGGCTTCCAGAGACCCCTTTATCCTTTTTCTGATCAATCCCTCAAAAAATAGCTGTTGAGGGGCACCTGGGTGGCTCAGTTGGTTAAGTGTCCGTCTTAGGGCTCAGGTCATGATCTCATGGTTCATAAGTTCGAGCCCTGTGTCGGACTCTCTGTTGACAGCTCAGAGCCTGGAGCCTGCTTCAGATTCTGTGTCTCCCTCTCTCTCTGCCCCTCCCTGGCTCATGCTCTGTCTCTCTCTCAAAACATAAACAAACATTAAAAAAAATAGCTATTGAATGAATACACTAATTGGCAGTCACATTTGAATTCCAAGATGGTTTCTGTAGAGCCCTTTCCCTCTCATGGCGTCTGGCGTGACAAGTCCATTACCTATTTCTTAAATCCCCCGTGCTTTCCAAGTCCTATTTCCCTTGATTTGAAAAAAGAGAGAGAAGACACCTTGAAACAGCATTTTTTTCATTAATAGCTGGGACGTGTGATACAAGTGCTCTTCCAGTGACACGCTGCCACCAAATCCCAGACAACCCCGTCGCTCGTTTCTTACATTTCAGATCTTCTTTTTAAACCAGAAGCGCCCTTTAGTTAACATGGAGAGGAGACAGTAACCTCCAAAAAGCTTTGTCGGCATCAAGTCATTTTAAAATGGCTCTCCCTTTCAGGGACTGTAGAGTGGTGTGGTCATCCATTTCAGAGGCTTTTTGGCAGCAGATGGTTTTACACACCTGGCTAATGACCATTTATCAACTAGACTATTGGATGGGACTCAGCTTATGGAAGGGAAAGCCTTGGGTTCTAGCTAAATAACAACAGCTCTCGGTTATCGCATACAGTTCTAAGTAGCTTAACACGTATTAGTCATGGGGTCACTCAGCACTAGAGGAACAAGTGCCACTTCCTGGTGCCTCAGCCTGCTCTGTGTGGCGTCTGCACTGTGAACTTGACAGGCACCATCTCAGGAATCAGCCGCTGACGAGCCTCAGTGCCATCAA